GTTTGTTTTTTGGTACTGGGGATCGAACTCGGGTCCTTGCGCTTGAGCAGCAGGCAGCGAAACCACTGAGCTAAATCCCCAGCCCCTTTGGTCCATTTTGAATGGATTTTGTACAGAGTGAGATTTAGGAATCTAGTTTCAGTCTTTCCGTATGGATATCCAATCTTCCCAACACCAGTTGCCAATAAGGTTGTCTTTTCCTCCAACATGTTTTTGGCTCCTTTGTCAAGAATGAGATAACTAGTTTTGTGAGGGTTTTGTGTGTGTGTGTCTTCTATTCCATTCTGTGGTCTACGTTCCTATTTTTGTGCCAGTAACATGTTTTTGGTACTATGACTTTGTAGTATAATTTGAAAGCAGGTATTGTGATGCCTCCAGCATTGCTCTTTTTACTCAGGACTGCTTTGGCTAGTCTGGGTCTTTTGTGCTTCCATATGAATTTTAGAATCGCTTTTTCTAGTTTTGTGAAGAATTTCATTGGTATTTTGATGAGGATTGCACTGAACCTGTAGATTACTTTCAGTACATTTTGACCATTTTAACAATATTAATTCAGCCAATCTATGAGCAAGGGAGGTCTTTCCATATTTTAGTGTCTTCAATGTCTTTTTTCAGTATTCTATAATTTTCATTATAGAGGGCTTTCATGTCCTTTTGTTCCTAGGTATTTGTGTGTGTGTGTGTGTGTGTGTGTGTGTGTGTGAAGCTATTGAGAATGGAATTATTTCATAAATTATTTCTCAGGGGTTCATTATTGGTGTCTATTGATTTTATATGTTAATTTTTTTCCTGTCACTTTGATCAATTTGTTCATCAGATTTAAAAGTCTCTTCTGGTGGAGTTTTTCTAAGAATCATATCATCTGAAAATAGTGATAATTTGACTTCTTCCTTTCTTATTTATATCCCTTTTCTTTTTCTCATCTAATTGCTCTAGCTAAAATTTCAAATACTGTATTGAACAAGAGTAGCGAGAATGGACACCCTTTCTTGTTCCTCCTATTAGAGGAAATCCTTTGGGTTTTGTCCATTTAGTATGATGTTGCCTGTGAATTTGTCATATATAACTTTTGTTATATTGAAGTAGGATCCTTCTATACCTTGGTTCTTCTGAATTTTTAAAATGAAGGAATGTTTAACTTTGCCTAAGGCCTTTTCTGCATCTATTGAGATGATCGTGTGATATTTATCCTTGATTCTATTTAAGTGGTGAATTATATTTATTGATTTATGTGTGTGGAAACATCAAAAGGTACTTCTTTAATAGCATTCTCAATTTCTTTGTATACCCGTCAGTTCAGATGTACTGTTTCTTAAATCAACTTTTTAAGAATTAATATTTGTTTCAAAAACCCATCCATTCCACAGAGATTTTTACATTTATTGGCTTATTGAGCATACATTCAATTAACTTTTTTTATTATTAGAGTGGTCTTTCTTATATTTTGTTGTTTATTTTTTGTCTAGTTGATCTATCTGTGACACTGGGGTATTGAGGTCCCCCACTATTGTACTAGTGCTTATTTGATTTTTCATGTCCGTTAGCATTTGTTTTATATAGTTGGGTGCACTAGTGTTTGGTGCATATGTATTTATGATTGTCATCTCTTCCTCTTAATCGTTCCCTTTATAAGGATGTAGTGTCCTTCTTTGTCTCTCTTAATCTGTGTTGGTTTGAAATCTATTTGATCTGCAAAGAGGATAGCTATTCCTGCTTTTGGGGGGGTTCCTGTCACATGGAGTATTGTTTTCTACCCTTTAACTTTCAGTCTATGAGTTTCCTTTTGAATTAAGTGTGTTTCTTGTATGCAGCATATTGTTGGATCTTCCTTCTTGACCCATTCTGCCAGTCTATTTCTTTTGATGGGTAAATTGAGACCATTAACATTGATGGTTATAACTGATATGTATTGACTTATTCTTGTCATGACTTTTTCTTTTTGTTGGATTCTCCCTGTTTGTGTTTAATTTCTTGTCGTGCCTGTTGGATTCATTCAGCTGGGCTTCCTAGGGTCGTGTTTCTCATTGTCTTTTGATATTGTTTAAAATTTTTTGGAATTGTGGTTTGGTATTCGTGAAGTTCCTAAGGTACTCTTTGTCATGAAAGTATCTTATTTCTCCATCAATTTTGAAAGATAGTTTTGCAGGGTACATCAATCTGGGTTAGAGGTTATTTTCCTTTAGGGCTTGAAATATGTCACTTCAAGCTCTTCTTGCCTTGAGGGTTTGTGTTGAGACGTCTGCTGTGATTCTGATGGGCTTTCCTTTGTATGTGATTTGTTTCTTTTCTCTAACTGCTTGTAGAAC